GCCTGCGGCTCAGGTCATGATCCTGGAGTCCCGGGATCGAGTCCCGCATCGGGCTCCCTGCTCGGCAGGGAGTCTGCTTCTCCCTCTGACCCTCCCCTGTCTCATGCTCTCTCTCTCTATCTCATTCTCTCAAATAAATAAATAAAATCTTTAAAACAAAACAAAACAAAAAAACCCTTTGATGTCTCCACACTGCCTACGGGATAAGCCCACATCTCCTCACCACACCCTTCAGGATCTGACACTGTCCAAGGCCTCCAACCTTCCTGCTCCCCACAAAACCCACATTCTGTCTTCCAACTACAGTGTCCAGCAATCTCTCCTCCAGCACACCACTCTCAATGAAGGGCCTCTACCTCTGCCTTACCCGTTGCTGGAACCCTCTCATCCTCATTCCTCACAGCCAACCCTCATTCTTCAAATTTTCCTTGGATGACATTCCTTCCAGGAAGCCTACTAGCCCCCAGAGCTGCCATGCGCCCCTGGCTTCTGCTGTCGCAATGCTCATCACTCAGAATTACTTGGCTTCCTCCTCTAACAGATGGTCAGTTTCAAGAGATCTAAGACTAAGGCTAGTTCCTAGCCCTCCCACACCCAGCCAGGCACTGTGCCTGGCACAAGTACATGTACGATACTTGGTTAGTTGTTCGATTCTCTACAACCAAGGTTCTGCCCACTTTTTGCTACTTATTTCTGGGGTCCCCAGACTATCCACTACAGCTCTCACCAACTCCCGATCTAAGATTTCCTGGGTGGACGGGGCACAACAGCCCCACAGCCCCACCTTGTACTCCTTGATCTCCTCCTGGAGGATTTCATCGGCATCTGCATAAACCTCCACCTTCCTCTGCTTCTCCAGCTTGCGCCGCAGCCGTGAGATGTCCTCCTGGAGCAGGAGAAGGGCTAGGCTAAGTGCAAGGGTTCTCCTCTTGAACCACCCGCCCCGAGGCCACACCAGTGACCCTGAGCCACACTGCCCCTGCCCCACGCACACACCTGAGCTCTCTTGAGGTTGAAGCTCTCTTTCTCGCGAGCAGCCCGGCTCTCCGCCAGGCAGGGCTGGATCTCTCGCAGTCGCGTCTGCACGTGCTCCAGCTGCACCTTTAGATCCTCGGCCAGCTGGGCCGCTTCCACAGCCTGAGGTAGGTGGGACAGGAAAGGGCAAGGGGGGACCGTTCACCTGAGCTTGGGGAGTCAGGCGTGTGGAGCCACGGTCCACAGATGCCTGTGTCAAACGTTCCAGTGACTCTTGCTCTTGGGACCAAGTCCAGTGTCTTCACTGGAGTTAGTCCTGCCTCCTGACTTCTCCACCGTCACCTCCTCCTGGTCTCCACAGTTCCTGACACACTCACTTCTTCACCTGCATAACGCTCTCTCCTATCTTTCAGCCTCCACAGGGCTCTTCTCTCTGCTCCCCTCAACTCCCGCAACACACTTATTTCTTTCCAGTGGCCCCCTCAGGCCCCAGCTTACATTCAGCTCCCGAGACAGGCTCCCCTATTTTTCTTTCACAAGACTTACTGGGATCTGCAGTAGCATATTTTACCTGTGGGATTATTGGCTGGTTATCTGCCCCTCAAGACTGGAGGTTCCCACTTCTGGTAGGACCCTCTTGTTCCAGGTTCTCCCCAGCACTCAGTGCCAGGGGTTCATAGCAAGGGCATGAATAACACTGCCTTAATTAATGAATTAAATGGGGAAGAAAAAAAGCCAAACAGGGGAAAGAAAACGAAAACCAACATCGATCTTAAGCCTCTGCCATGACCTAGACGTTCCTGAGGTTTAATACAACTATGTGACAGGGACCAGCATCCCTACTTCACAGCTAACCAACAGAGTGGGTTCTGGAGCCAAGGAGATCAGCCCCAATTCCTGGTCCAATCTTTCTTGAGCAAGTCAGCTGCCTGCCCTAAGCCTCAATTTCCTCACTGAGAAAAGCAGATAATAACAAACACCATCTCACGACTGTTATGAGACCAAAATGCAACCCAGCACAGACAACGCTCAGCACAGGAACTAGAACACAGTAAGCTTTCAAGACGTGAGCTGGGCTGGGAGAGGAGGCACAGGAGGGCTTTAGCTGTGAGCCTCCATCCTAGGTTGCTTTCTCCTCTCGGGCCTGGCCTCACCTTCCTCTTGTTGAGCTCCAGGGCCTGGCTGCGCAGCGTCAGCTCCTTTTCCACACCCCCAAGGCTGCCCTGCAAGGCCCGCTCTTTCTCCTCCAGCTTCTGCACGGTCAGCAGCTGGGCATCCACCTGAGGTCAGGGGTGGTGAGTCAGTGCTGGGGAGCCTCTGGCCCCTCTAGCTCCACCCTGAAAGCCCAGGGTAGCCATACCTGGGACTTCAGGCCCAGAACTTGCTCGCCCAGCTCATCCTTCTCCTCCCGCAGCAGCTTGTGTATCTGGTTGGCCTTGATCCGCTCGGACATCAGCTTGAAGTTGGCATCATCCTTTTCCCGTAACTGCTGTAGCAGCCGCCCGTTTTGCTCCTGCATGTCTTCAAAAGCCTGACCGGTTACATCCATCTCTGACAACAGAGCCTCCTCTTCCTGTGGTAAACAGGCAGAGATGAGATGGAACATGGGAGATGATCGTGGGGAAACCACAGGAAAACAGGGCTGAACAGAGTGGTCCCGGACCATCTGCTAGAAGCACTCAACAGGGAGTTAAGGGAATCCCAACATTCAGAAGCAAGGGGACCACAAGGGGGTCGCACCTGCTTGGTAGCACCCAACTTGCGCTGCAGGTGCTCGATCTGCTCCTCCGCCTGGCGAATGCGCCGCAGGGCGTCCTCATCCGCAATTTTTTTGCTCTCCCTTCTGTCCCTTTCCTCCAATTCCCGAATACGGCTCCGTAGTTCATCAACCTACAGCCACCAGAGTGTAGCTCTTGTCACTGCTTCCCGCTGACCTAGGGCTCTGCTCTGGTTAGAACTCCCCAGGGCAGTCTCTGTGCGTGCCCCACAGGCCCTACCTGTCCTCACCTCAGCCTTGGCCTTGCGTTCAGCTGCCATGAGCTGCACCTTATCCCGCTGTTCCTTGGGTGCTGACTTGTACATGTCCAGCAACAGCTTCATCTCCTTCTGGCTCTCCTGGGCCTTCCTGGGGAAACACAGGAGAAAGGCTTGGTGAATGGTGCTGGAGGCTACTTTGATAGGGGTGGGAGGGAAATAGGAATAGGGCCTCACTTGAGCTCTGCTCGGAGACCTTTGAGGAGTTCTGACTCCTTCCTCTTGGCCTCCTCCACCTTGGCCTTCTCCCGATCAGCCCTTGAGAGAGCCGAGGCCACAGATGGGGGTCCCAGGCCAGGCCCTTCCCGCTCTCGAAGCTCCCGCTTGGGCCTGGCCTCAGGTTCTCGGCCCCGGGAGGAGGGGCCCTGGGACCCAGGAGTTATGGCCTGGGCATCTTCCTCAGAGGGGACCAGCTCCTCCTTCTTCGCTAAGGAGGTAGTAGTGGTGGTGCCAGGCACTGAAGCCATCTCCTTTCTGCTGTCAGGGGCAGTGACAGGGCCTGGCCCACCCTCTTCTTTCCCTGGGGCTGGGGCACTGAGGCCAGATTCTTCTGGGTGGCCCAGGTTGGGGATGGAGTGGGTTGAGCCGCTGGCCTGGGCCCGGAGCTGCAAAGACAGAGAACAGGGCTGAGGTGAGACAGTGCTCACCCGGGTCCAGCCAAGGCTTTTCCCAGGCAGCCCCCTCTCACCTTGCCAATCTCTGCCTGCACTTCCCGCAGCTTCCGCTTGTACCGCTGGGCGTCCCCCTTTAGCTGGTGGTTGTGGTTTTGGAGGCTGCTGATCAGGTGGCGCATCTCACGGTTGATGGGCCCTGGGAGAGGGTTGGGAAGGAGTTAGACCGGCTTCTGCATGAAGGGCCCAACCCCTCAGTGGGGGAAGAAGGGGAGTCACAGCTGTCACTCCCATTGTGGAGGAGAAGGAAACTGAGGCCGTACATACAGTGTGATCTCATCAAAGTAATAACCCAGGCTTGAAAAAAGCTCACCCAAAACTAACTTGAGACTGCCTATTTGTTATTTCTGTTAATGTAAATTTTTCTAATATTTCCAAATTTCCTTTAAAGGAACATATAACTGTAATATTCACCAAAATAAATTAGTTCACTTCTTTTGTATTTTTAAACAAATGTCACCTTCTGAGTTTCACTTCTCTAGCCTTCCCATCCAAAATCACAACCCCTTTCTCCCAACACTTCCTATCTTTCTTCCCTGCTTTGTTTTTCTTGACATATTTGCCACTACCTAACATACGTGGTCTGTTTTTCGCTTTGTTGCCCCCCTTTACTACAATACTGCTCCACAGTAGCAGGGATCGTCTGTGTTTTGTTCACGGACATAATCCCAAAGCCTAGAAAAGAGCCCGGCTCATAGGTCCTGTTCAAAAAACTTTGTGAAATGAACGACTACCTCTAAGAGAAAGACACCGTAAGGCCAGAGAACCATGGACCGGGCCAAGAGCTCATGTTCTGGCTGCGCCTGCTCGGTCAGCCACCTCAGCTGGTTGTGACCCTCACCATGCCTTTGAGTCAGGTGGTATGATCCCTGTTTTGGCCAGGGAGAGGAGGCTCTGCAAAAGGAAGGGGCTCAACCCCTCGCATCTGGATAAGCAGCAGCCCCACACCAGGGACCAGCAATCCCAGATAAGGCCCCACCCCACCCTGTCCTCACCACATACCCGCCTGCTCGTTGGCCGCCAGGTTCTGCTCGAACTCGATGCGCAGCATCTCGTACTCCTTGCGTACCTGGGCCAGTGTGTCCTCCAGCTGGATAACCTCTGTGCGCAGCTTCTTCTGCAGCCCCAGCTCATCACTCTGTAGGTTGAGGCGTTAAGGACCCACACAACCCCTCAGCCCCCTGGCAAACTCCTCTCCTCTTCCCCCCCACCTCAGGCCTCTGTGGCTTAGGAAGAATTTATTCCCAAGGGACCCCTGGCAGCACACAGGGCCTGCGAAGGCCAGCAACACCTTGACCCTGAGGTCTGTTCCAGGGCCATACCTCCATGTGCTCAATGTGTCTTAGGTGGGAATTCTTGGTAGCCAGCAGCAGCCCCCGGGCCTCATCCAGCTGGGTCTTCACTTGCAGAGACTCGTTGTAGAGCAGCGAGAACTGGGCCTGCAGCATTCGGTACTCCCCCGTTTCCCTCACCACCTCCTCGGGAAGGCTCCGCAGGGCCACCTAGGACCAGGGTGCCCAAAAACGATCAGCAAGAGGATTCAGGACCCAGCCGCTACCTCGCAGGTTCAGGCCCTCCCAGTCCTAAATAGAGCCCACCTTGAGGCGCTCATTGGTCCGCACAGCCCCCTGAAGTTCGGCCTGCAGCTTCTCTAGCTCTGCCATACGGCTGTTGGCCAATTCCTGGTTTTCCTCCAACTCTGCATTCAGCATCTCAAACTGTGGAATGGGAGGGGCTGTGGGAGGCAGGGCCAGGCCAGGATGCCTGCTTCCCTCACATCCCCACCACATGTGGGCAATGATGGATTCTGAAGCCCCATGGACAAGCCAAACCCAAGCACTTTCCTAAGGGCTCCCAGGTAAGTGGGAGAAAATACTGCATGGCCAGTGCTGGGAACCAAGGCTCATAACTGACAGGGAATCAGCGTAGCCTTCTTGAAAGACCTGAAAAGGAACCTGAAATAAGGAGTTAACAGGGAACAACAAACCTTACAGCTTCAAAAAAATGTGCAATGAACAAGAAGTGAGAGAGCCCTCTGTGAGACACCTCCTTTAGCCAGCCAGCAAAGAATGCCAGTCAGCTCCAATATACTTTCATTTGTCTCTCTCTGTTTTTTTTTTTTCTAAGATTTATTTTCATGTATGAGAGAGAGCCCGTGTGCACGTGTGCACGAGTGGGGGAGGGGTGGGGTAGAGGGAGAAACAGGCTCCCCGATGGGAAGGGAGCTCAACATGGGGCTCCATCCCAGGACCCTGGGAGCTTGACCCGAGCCAAAGGCAGACGCTTAGCCAACTGAGCCACCCAGGCGCCCCCATTTGTTTCTTTTCTATGCTTTTCCTTTGGGGCACCTGTAACCACCTAATGAACTATCTTACTTCTCGTGTGTTCCCCCAACCAGAACCTGAGCTCCATGAAACCTTTGTTTTTTGTCTCTTGTCCTCTGATGCCTACTTCCAAGCACCATGCTTAATACTTAACGTTAACAATTACTTATTAAATATACAAATGAATAAAACAGAGCACCACGAATGACAGGGAAGGGACTTAGACCATGCAAATGGTCTGTCCTTAATTCTGAGGAGACTTTCATGGGTGGGGCAGAGAAAAGGTTACAGGAAGGATTGGGAAAAATGGTGCCTACTCACTTTCTGCATGCTGAGTGTGATCTGGCCCCCCTGGAAGCCGGAGGAGCTCCCAGACGCATAGTAGCCAGAGTTGAGCTGTGGAGAGACAGACCGATGGGGGTGGAGGAGAGAAGCGAGGGCTCCACGTACCCAGTCATGGCTCCATCTGACCCAGCACCCAAGCCCCACCTGCTCCAAGGCCTCTGCCAGGTGCTTATTGAGCTTCTGCTCACGCTTGCGCAGCTTCTCAATGTCCCATTGCAGGTCCTCCACCGTCGTCTCCATCTCCAGCACCTTGGTCTCTGCTGATGTCACTTTATCCTGGAGCTCAGAGTACTGGGGACAATGATAGGGTCAGATGCTTAGAGGAGGGGACTTGGCTCCCTGAGAGCCTTGGTGCACGTCGAACCCAAACCCTGCCCTGGTTTTAATCCCACCTCCAACGAGATGCGATGGTGCTTCTCTTGTAGCTGAGTGGCCAAGTCCTGCAGCCGCCGGTTCTCACGACCCAACTCCCGGGTGCGTGCCCGAGCCACCTCACCGGGGGGCTCACTGTCCCCTGAGAAGGCAGGGCTCGGGTAAGAGCCAAGTCCAGGGCAATGGGGCAAAGTACTAACTCATTCTGGAGTCTGCTATGTGCCCAGTGTGATCCACCAGCTGTCTTGCCAATTTCTCATGACAAAGCCAGGAGTCTGTATCTCCACTGCACAAAGGAGGAAACAGCTCAGAGAGGAGAGCCATCTGCCCAGAATGACAGGACTAGGGCTGGGAGAAGCCTGTCAGCCTGTCAGCCTGCAAAGCCTGGGCCCTTGCTACTGTGCCTTGTGGGTCACCAACTGCAACCAAAATCTGTGCAAAGTGTTCTAAAGGTCTCCAGCTGGAAGGCAGTAGCCCCATAAGCATCAACAACTCCTCCCACCCAGCTCTCTAGAGCTCAACCCCATGAACCAAAGGCAGAGCCCCATCTACAACCTACCCCTTTCCCTGAGAAAGTGGCTGATTTATTCCTTGGAGAATTATGGCTGCCTCTGCGCTCGGGCATTGAGGGGGTACAAGCAAGACGCAAATGGGGACAGACACCTCTGCGGCGGGACACAAAGAACTAACCTCGGCTGTATACTCGCTGACAGAGTTCCTCCACCCGGCGCTGTAGGCGGTCTGAGGCCTCTACGACACGGGACACGGCTGCCTTGGAGAACTCCATTCGGCCCTGGAGCTGCAGCTCCACCTCCTCACTACTGCTGGCGCCCAGTGCTACCACAAAAGCCAAGGCTGGCTCACTGAGGGGGGGCCGCAGCTGCACTGGCAGGGGCTCTGTGAGGGAGGGACAGACCCTCATGAAGATCTCAGAAGAAGAACAGCAGCAGTCACCACCACTCCATAGCAAGTTCCAGACTGAGCCCTTCGGCATTCTATGGCTCACTGAATCAGCACAAGCAATGCCCGTCATCAAAGTGAAACTTCGGAGGCTCAGGGAGCTAAAGTAATTTCAAGGCCACAGAGCTTCCAAATCATTCCTCAGGGAAGCCTTCTCCGCCTTCGCCATCTATATTAGAACCACACACGAGTGCACACACACTAATTCCCTTTCAAGGGCCCCTCTTCTTTTTACTTATGGTTTAAAATCATTTCCTCCCTGATGGCAGAGGCAGTCTTTCTTTTCGCTTATCTTTGTCTCTTCCGAGGCTGTAACAGTACTAACTACACAGCTAACACTTGATGTTAATGCTTTTTTGAACTAAATGAGGGTCAAACATGACGTGCACTATGAACCAAATCACTCAGATCCCAAAGCCCGGGGCCTGGGTTCTTACCCGCTGCATTTTGCTGTCCAAACAGAAAGTCAAGTGTGTGTGTGTGTGTGTGTGTGTGTGTGTGTGTGTGAGAGAGAGAGAGAGAGAGAGAGAGAAGGGTGGTGGGGGAATTCAGAAGAGAGAGAGAGAGAGAAGGGTGGTGGGGGAATTCAGAAGACTAGTATGAAAGTTCTCTCCTCTCCAGGACCGTTCCCAGGACTTAATTAAGCTCCCCAGATCCTAGGGCTCTGGCCCTACCCCTCAGCTCCGATGTCCCTGGCTCTGTGAGAGGGGTCTCATCACGTGTCGGCCCCTCCTGGGTCCCAGGCGCCTCTGTCCCTGAAGACAGCTCCCCCTGGCTCTCATGGTGTCGGAGAAGGGCTTCCACAGTTTCATCCAGCTGAAGGGAGAAAGCACCAAAAATGTTATGAATCCCTCAGGTGCTTCCCAGCATGATACTCCTTTCCCAGCAGAGTAGTCTGAGGATTGGCAGCTGGATCAAGGCCAGGTCTTGGAAAGCAGAGGGGCATCCACCTGGGCCCAGTAGCGATTGACAATGAGGAGTGTGGCATCATCTGTGGCCTGCCGCTTCTCCAGCTTCTCAATTCGTTCTCGGAGTTCATCTTCACAAGCCTGTCGCTGTTCCAACCGCTCTGCCAGTTTCTTGTTCTTGAACTGCAGAACCTTCAGGTCCATCTCCTCCTACCAAAGAAAACAAAGGGGACGAGGAGAGGGTCAAGCAGGGGCCAAGAAACCAATCACAGAGAGAGACAAAAGAGAGCAACTGGAACGGAGAAGACAGTATCTCCAGACTAACCACTAACAAAATTTAAAGAGATTCAGACACCCACAGAGAAAGCATCTTAATTGTGAGGAGAGTCAAGTTCTGCTTCTGCCTCTTTCTAATTCTCAAGTCTTTGACAAGTCACACGCCCTCTGGGAATCTGTTTCCCTATCTGTAAAAAGAAGGCAGACGTCATGTCCTCGGTTTCCCTCAACAGAGTGTTCTGTAATGTGGATCCTGCTAAGCTTGGGGGAACTGCGAGTAAAGAAAGGTTCTAGACGATTTGGGCGGAGAACAGAGATGGGAATCCGGCAAGTTGTGAGGACTGGGGCAGGAGCCCACGAACCGTGGAAGAGATGCCCCCAAGACGAATGGGCTCTATAAGCGTGGTCGTGGTCTTCTCCTCTCGGCTCAGCTTCTTCTCTGGGGGCCCTGAGCCACCGTCGCCGGCGGCGCGTTTGTTGCCGGGTCCAGACATGGCCGCGGCTGCGAGGAGCGGCGCAGGGTCTCCCGAGAGACGTCAGGCAGGCGTAAGCGGCACTTCCGTCACCTGCAGAAGACAGAGAGCAGAGATGTGGATGTGGCCAGCGCTCCGCAGCCCCAAGCCTTCCCCGCACACACCTGCTGGATTCCGACCCCGCCTGCCCCTGGCCCCTCCGCGGCAGCAGGTTCAGCCTAGCGCCATCTTGGACTTCACCGGACGTCACCGGCCTCGTCAGCCCAGAGCGCAAGCGCCGCAAGCAATGCCGGATGTGGCGAAATTTCATTTCCTATTTCTATTGGTCGCGCTTTGTCCCGCCTCTCGGGCCCCGTTTGGTTTCTTCCTGAACACCACCTCTTTCTCTCGGTGATTGGCCAGCAGACAGTTCCCGTGGCAACTGACACCACACTCACATCCTCCAGCCCTGAGGGAATCGCCTGCCTCCTGTTAGCCACTCTGAAACGACGGCACGGGGGCGGTACTTGAAGCTTACTGCGCATGCGCATTCTCTTCTCACTGATTGGCGAGCGTCCTACACTTGTTCCCTCCCTCCACGAGGTCCCTTAGCAACGGTCGCCGTTGAGACGGAGGGAGACGCCCCCCGCGGATTGGCTGCACGAGGCCTCTCTGCGGCGTAGATTGGCTGAAGCGTCGCTGGAGGGAGGGCTTGACAGTCGAGGCCCAAGAACCGACATTCCCAGGACCCAGGAGGGGCACAGCCTGTGGTGAGCCGTGGCTAGGAAGAGCGACGAGATGATCCGCCAGAAGTCCAGCCAATTCATGGCACTGAAGATACAGTCGGAGCTTGAACAGCCCTCAGAACTGCAGCGGGAACACCAGAAGGACCTTAGCTCAGTGGATGGGTCCGTCACGCGGATGGTAACAGGTGTGCGGACCGAGTCCAGAACCGCGGCCTTGATAGAAGCGGATGAAGATCCTGCAGCCAACCTGTTCCCGGTGAGGGCGGGACAGAGTGGTCCGCTCATGACTGTTTATAAAAGGGCTCCCCGGCAGGGCGTCACCCGTCGTTATGTTTATTAACGTTCAAGACATTTCCTGGGTGCCTTGGTGAAGAGGCAGGGGTGTGTGACTCCGATTGTTAAATGCTCATGAATAGTACTTAGGGCCTATTGAAGCCTAGCCTGCCAGTGTTGCTCGTACATAATCCTTAAAACGACAAGGCAAGTTAGCGGGTTCTCAGGCCAGCTGGAGATTCCGGATGGGTCAGGGACTGGGGCCAGGGATGGCACAGCTCCGCCTGCCCATTCCGTTTTCTCTCCGCAGCCCCCGTTGCCCCAACCCCGGATCTGCATGTGGTGAGTGTGAAGAATCTTGGGGTTTCCTGCCTCCCCAGTCCAAAGAGGGAGGGTGGGAAGAAGACTAAGAATGTAAATGCAATATCGACTGCTATGGAGCATTGTATAAACGGAGACACTGAAGCCACATGGGGAGTGGCAGAGACAAGAACTCAAGTTTCCTAATCCTCAGCTTTATAAATGAAGAGGATCGTGAGAGTTCCTTTAAGCCATATCCCTTATTTAAAGATGGAGAAAGTTACACCCAGAGAGGAAGTGACTTGCCCAGAGAAGGTAGTGGAAGGGCTAACCCTCAAACTCAGGTCTCCTGGTTCCCAGTCCGGTGCTCTAGCCATCACAGCCTTCTCATGAGACTAATGCCTGATGGCCACCAACACCTTTTCTCCTCTTTTCTTATGACAGGAAGTATCTGGACATCCATTCCATGCACAGGCTGGAGAAGACAGCCAACACTGAGGAGATGAGGGAGTATGGGGGTGGGACAGGGAAGAGCAGAAGAGCTGGCTCCCGGGGAAGACTAAGGGGGCTGGGCGGGAAAGGAAGGAATGCCCGGCTCCAGAGCACGTGGTGCACCAGTGTGGGGTGGTAAAGGGGGGCTGGCTCAGGCCTGCCTTCCTGTGTCCTTCCCAAGGGTGCTAGCTGAGCTTTTGGGGCTAAGCTGTCCTGAGCAAAGCCTGCGGGATGCCATCACCCTGGACCTCTTCTCCCACGCACTCCTCTTCTGCCGCCAGCACGGCTTCTCACTGGAACAGACATCGACAGCTTGTGCCCTGCTCCAAGATCTTCACAAGGCCTGTGTTGGTGAGAGGAGGCGGCTACCAAAGGGTTTGAGCCCAGGGGACAGTGGAGGCTGGGATGGCACAAGTGACCCCAGGAAGCAAGTAATGGATTACCACCTGGAATCTTTGTTCTGTCATTACAAGCACTATTGTAATGACACCCACACAGTAACTTGTGTGTGACAACTTGTGTGGTGACAGCACCAACTTTATGAGATTGTTCTGAGGAATACTGTAGGTAATACACGTAAATATAAAGACAGTGCTCAATGAAATCGCTCCTCCTCCACCTCCCACTTCATTCCTGGAACTGATTTCCTGCAGAATGTTTAACAAGAGCTGAAATCACATATTTCTTGTTTTATTGTATGTCACTTAAGGGCAGGACCTTGTCTGTCTTGTTCAGTGCCTAGAACAGTGCATTGCAGTACTATCTGTTGAGTGAGTTAATGAAACAAGGACTTAAACTTAGATCTGTTAATTTCCAAAGCTCATGCTCAGTAAGTAGCTGGTGAGTGAGTGAAATGAATGATTATCCGGGAGGGGACTCACTTGTCACATCTTGCTTTCCCTCCCAGCAACCCCCTTGGGCAACATGGAGGAATGTTACCGCTACTTCACCAGTGTCCTTTTTTGCCATGGAGTCAAGGTCAGTTCCCCTGAAATGGGATCTTCAGTCTCCCACAGATAAGGTCTAGCCCAGTCTCCTGTCCTCTCTCATACTCATCACCCTCATCTTCCTCTGAAGGCTGCAGGGGGTACTCCCTGCTCCTAAATGGCTGGGCATTTGGAGAAAAGGTCAGGGTTCCTGGAGGTGGTCAGTCCTCTAACTCCCACTCATCCCCACAGCGGCCCCCCTTCAGTATCAACCTCTTTAGGGAGGAACAGCTGCTGGCCCTGGCAGATTATGTGGTCAACACCTACTTCCGCCACTTCAAGCTCTACAAATATGCCTTCACACCCCAGGTACGGAAGCCACTCTTCATCTCCCCCTTTCATTCAGTGCAGATGTCCTCCTCTTAGCCTCTCTCCTCCTCCCTCTTTCCAGGTGCGGCTGGATCTATCTTTGACTTACATGGGGCTACAGCCACCCAAGCTCTGGCCAGAAGATGAGACAGGTAAGGGAAAATGCTGGGGCCGGGGCTGGGGCCGGGGCTGGGGCCGGGGCCGGGGCTGGGGCTGGGGCTGAAGCCTCTTCCTGCTTCTGGCCTGCAGAGAAAGGCGGCGAGGAGGCGAAGGAACAGGCAGTCACCCCACAGGAGGAACCAGAAACAGTGGTCCTGCCAGAGCCAGAGCCAGAGCCAAGTGAGGATGGGTTAGGGTCCCCCGTGACTTGGAGCAGGCATAAAATGAAGGGTTTAGACCACATCAGGACTTCAGGTCTGTTCTAGGCACAGTGTCCTTTCTCCAAATGATTCCTTATGCAGAAGTCCAAGGTGACAAACAGGTAATAAGAGTGCAGCTGCTGGGGGTGAAGCAGGAGCTCCAGGAAAGGATCATTATAAAACCAATGACGGGGGCACCTGGGTGGCGCAGTGGGTTAAGCAGCCGATTCTTGGTTTCAGCTCTGGTCACGAGCTCACAGCTCACGGAGTCTGCTTGAGATTCTCCCACCCTCTCCTTCTGTCCCTCCTGCTCATACACACGTGCACGCACTCTCTCTAATAATCTTTAAAAAAACTTAAAAAACCAGTAACAGCCAGTGCACATTTGGCAATACCGTGGTGCCAGGCAGGCCCTGTTTTAAGCATTTTACATTTAATCTTCCTTCAGGCCTAGGCACTAGGTGCTATCACTATCTACACTGTACACAGGAGGAAACCGAGGTATGCAAAGATGAAATCACCTGTGTAAAGTCACTTATCTGCTGATCAGCAACCCAGAGAGTCCAGCCTGGCCAGTCCACCCCCCCGCCTCTCTCCATAGAAGGGTTGGCTGGCCTTTCCTGAACTGAAGCTACCCTGCCACTTGTGTAGCCCCACAGCATCTCTGCTCACCTGCCCCTTGTTCCCTGCCCCCGGCAGGCCAGGTCTCCATCCTGCAAGCCTACATCAGGACCCAGATGAACAAGGAGCTGAGGCAGCTCCAACAGCTGATGGAGGAGCGGCTCCAGGCCAGCGAGGAAAGGCTCAGCAGCAAGTTGACCACACTAGAGCAGCCCTTCCAGCTACCTTCTGGCAAAGGCAAGAACAAGACCAAGTGACCCCCAGCATTTTCCCCAATAAAGGCCCGGGGCAGGGCAGCCCCATCCCCGCCCCGAGCACCTTCTGGGCTCCCCTGCCAAAGCCGGACACCACACTCCGGGCACTGGCTCCCTCCGGAGTGCAGATTTTATTGCAAATGCAGCAGAGGCAGCATTGACAAGGCCAGGCATGCTGTTGCGCGTGGCTGCCTTCCCCCTCAGCTCCGATCCCAAAGTCTTGGCTGGTGGGGACAGGTGTACACGGCTGGTCTTTATGGTAGTATGAGCAGTGGTAGGCCTGGCCAGGCTGGGGGGGCCTGAGGCCAAAGCCCAGAAGGGCTGGAATGATAAAAATCCTCCTCCTGGAGAGTCCTGCACTGTGGGGTTCCCCGGGGCCGAAGTGCTAGCCCAGTGCCAGCATGGCGTCCTCCTCGGTGATAGCAGCTGGTTCCCCCTCCTCTTCAGGGCCCAGGATGGGAAAAGGCCCAGGGGGCTGGTGCTGGAAGAGGGCGGCTCGGTTCTGTTGCTCACCTTTCTTCACCCAGTGCCCGTAGAGCCGGAAGGCGCAGCTATCGATGAGGCGCCGCACTGGCCGCAGCGCGTAAGGGTCCCTCAGCAGTGCGCTCTTGGTCAGTGGCCGGACACGCTGGGTGCTTAAGGCCACTCGTCCAGCAGCAAGCACGGTCCACACTGCCACCTGAGGGGGGGGTGGCGGGCAGTGTGAGCTCCAGTGGAGCAGCCACCACAGGAGAAAGATTACGGGACAGAGGAGCAGGCCCAGACCCTGACGCTCTCAGGCTTACCCGGAACCGCTGGCGGGGGGTGAGGTTCCAGGGTTGGCTGCCTTCACAGCGCTCAAAGAAGGGGTGCTGGAGGGCTTGCTCAGCTGTCAGGCGCTCCTCAGGATCCACCTGGAGCAGCTTTGAGATCTAGGGGAAACCCCAGAGTATGAGAGGCAGCTCTTGGACCTCTTTCCTAGCCCTCTCATGGCCCCAGCTCACCAGGTCTTTGACGGTGTTGGAACGGTCATCCCACTCGGGCGAACTAAACTGGTACTGGCCCTCCATGATCATGCGTAACATCAGGATCTGGCGTCGGTGCCAGAATGGTGGTGAGCCAGCCAGGAGTGTAAACAAAATCACCCCACAGGCCCAGCTGGGAAAGAGAGCGGAGTCAGGCAGGACTAGGTGCCAGGCAGACGTGTTGAAAGACGGGACACAAAGGAGGAAGGAAGTAGGGAGACCAGAAACTCACAGGTCGACCTCCTTGCCGTAGCCGGGGTGGGTTTCATCCATGGAGCATTTAAGGATCTCTGGTGCTAGGTACCCTGGGGTCCCACACAACTCTGGGGAGAGAGGGCTGAGATTGATGGATGCCACCAGCTAACTAACTCCAGACCTCTGCTGGAGCCTCAACCCTGCTAGGGCCGTTAAGTGTTCCCATTCTGTTCCTGCCCGTCCTCCCCTAAGGGCTGACCTAGCCCCTATCCCTGCTGAACAACTCAAGTATGCCCCAAGGTTCCCGGCGGCCTTCCTGGGAAAACCTGATTTTGAGATTGACTTCAAGGTCCTACCCCACCGTATCTTTTGCCACCTCCAACCCACCCACCCATTCCTTACACAACCTTTTGTCACATTTTTACGTACATAATACACACGGAAAACAAATCTTCACTCTTTTCTGTTTCTTTCTGCCCAAATCGATTCCTCCTCCTATGATTGCTATTCTGTGTAGTGGAATCACCACTCAAACCCAAGGAGAATGAGTGGGAATATGGGATTTCTTAAGGCACACACTAGGTAAGTCCCTTATTTAAAACCTTTCCCTGGCTGCCAACCCCGCCCCCCCCATATGGCCTCAGGCTCAAGTCCAGCTCCTGCAGCACAGAGCCCTCCATGACTTGATCCGAGCATGTTATTTGTAGCTGCTTCTACCACTTCAGGCACCAATTCTTCCATCCCGGCAATTGCCGAACTGTGGCATACTTCCAGGAAATCTTAATAGGCCTTAATAGGCCTGACTCTCCCGGGAAATTCATTTCTATAAAAAGTATTTAAGAATGCCCACCACGTAGCAGGCACCATACTAGATGCCAGTGAATTAGATGTGCCCTTACCACGCTGTCTACCCGAAAGCAAACAAGAAATAATAGAGTAAAAGGTGTGTCCTGAAGGGAGAAGATACAAGAAGAGAAAGCACGGGATCTAACCCAACCTGGAGCTTTAAAGGGAAACCTGAATTCCTAAAGCCAAGGGCAAGGGTGGTGTGGGGCAGGGGCAAAGATGGTTCCAGAATGGGGAGAAGTGTATGGGGAAGCCCAAAGGGAAACAAAGCACAGCATCCGCAAGACAAACGTGTTAAGTCCATAGGTTACGAACATGAGCTCGAGTCGGACTGTCCAAGTTCAAGTCCCAGCTACCTGACTGTGGGCAAGTCCCCTTATCTCTTTAAGCCCATTTATAAAATGGTGATCCAGACGCTATCTCAAAGAGTTGTCGAGAGGATCTAGAGAACCCAGCTGTATAAAGACTTAGTGTGGTGCCAGTGAACGTTAGCTGTTAATAGCACAACGCAAAGCCACTGAGGGAGAGAAAGTAGGATGTTAACAGCTCTGAGGAGTCCACAAACTTTGTGAAGTTTTCCATGTGCGCTAAAAATATTTCTGTCACAACAAATGGATTAACACTGGGTGCAGCAGCTGGGCACCACCGTCTGGCCGCGGCGGGCTCTTCCTAGCACCTAAGCAGCACACTGCAGTCCTGTCTGCACCAAAACCCAAACACACAGCTGAGGCCTGTTATCCCCTCTCCCCCATCTTCCTCAGGGGACAGGCCCATCTCTGGAGCCCCGTCCCCTGTGGGGCCCTCCAGCTGAATCAGGTGCTCCTCCCTCCTGGCTTCCCCTTGCATGGTCCCCTGCCTGCTGTGTGCCACGACCTGCGCACTTGCCTCTATCCCCTCCCCCGCCCAGACCAGGAAGCCCACTCTGAGACGCACACGAGGCTTTGCACCCAGAGGGTACCTGGCAAGTGCTCACTGACTTCTCCCCTTTTCTTGGTACCTGGGTACTTGATTGTCAGACCCAGCTAACCAGCCTCAGGCCTGGGTCTCCTTCCCTCCCAAGCCTCTTAGGGCACCAAGCCCCCTCACCTCGAAGCTTCTCGCCAGGTTCCAAGTGGCAGGAGAACCCAAAGTCTGAAAGTCGGATCTGCATATTGTCATCTAGGAGAATATTCTCGGGCTTCAGGTCTCGGTGAACAATGTTGTTGGCATGGAGAAAGCTCACTGCTTCCAGCAGAGACCTCATGATGGACCTGGGGGAGGCGCAGTCTCCTCCTTTGCTTCTCCCTACCCCGCCCCGCCCCCTCATCACCCCACGGGCTGCAGGCTCAGTCGTTACCTGGTTTCCTTTTCTGAGAGGGCCACCTTCTCTGTGAGATAGTCAAACAGCTCTCCCTTCCGCATCCTAAGGGATAGGAGGGGTTGGGAGGTAGGTGTACCTTACATGGGGGCTGAGAAAATAAGCCAGTGCTCACAGAAAATACCATGGAAGAGACCGGTGAAGAGAGAGTCCTCTTTGTTTTTTCTTGAGCGATTAGAGTGCTCCAAGAGTGAACTGGATGCCAGGGGCAGTTTGGCCCAGGGGGTTGGCAGTCAAAATATAGGCACTCTGCCGGGAGGGTGCTATGTTAGCAAAATACGTGCCTTCTTGGAACAATAATTTATAAGAGGTCCTCATTATCTGAGACTAATTATATTCAAAGAGGGCCTTTTAAAGTGAATCTATTTAGACCATGGACCAAAATTTCACAGTTAATAACAGCAAAAAAGTTGAATAGGACTTTATTTTTATCTTGTCTTTAAAAACTGAGTTTATAATTGCAACTCTACAATCCTTGAAAGCAGGTGTTGTTTGGGGGCATATAATTGTTCTGCAAAGTTGCATGATGACGTGACAGACACTTCCTACCCCCACCCCCAACTTTTGCAGAGGGTCATTCTGTATGCAGACTTTGTGAAATTTTTCTAGGGGTCTCTTAAATATTTGCTATTCAAACCATTCTCTTTTGAAGTACCTTTGCACTGGTTTACGTTATATTGTAGAACATCTCACACTCGGATTCAGACTACCCAGGAAATGAACTGATGGGCAGAGACAAACACCACGTAAGGTGTTAAACAGCAAGAGACAAGGGAGCGAGAATCTGCTGATAAGTGGTCAGCTCTTCAGTATTCCCTCCTAATCTTATAACCATGGGGGACTGGGACAGTGACCCCGAGGGTCATGAAAACCCTTTTTAATTGGCTGGTCATGAACACTCTGGAAGAACTTGCCTCATCAGGGCACCCAGGGAGAGGGGCCTGAGCCTCAGGCACACAGGAAGGTGTGAGCAGGGTAGTCTTAGCCCACTATGCTGTCAGGCTGGGGCCACTCATGGAGGGGAGAAGGAGGAGGCTTCTCAGATCAGGGCAGGGAGATACTCACAGGTCAAACACCAGGAACATGAAGCTAGAAGACTCGTAGGAATCGATGAGAGTGACTGGGAAAGAGGCAGAAAGGCAGAGATACGGAGATGGAAAGGAGCGGATGCATGTTAAAGGGGCTTTCCACCCCGAGGTGGCAATGGGCTGTTACTGGGAAGGAAGGAGAACCAAAAGGAGGCAGTAGGGACCCAAAGGCTGGCCACATTTTGAGGTGGAGTGGAGCCATGACAAAGGGAGCAGAGGCATGGAGGCAGTGTTGGGGGAACTGGGCTGTGGGCAGGGCCAGCAGGAGGTGGCTGTCAGCTAACAGGAGCAGGGAATGCAGCCTCACTGATGTGGGGGTGGCCGGCGACCTGGCGAAGGATGTGCGTCTCTCGCCGCGTGGCTTCTCGCACCTCCTCTAGCTGTTCAGGACTCAGTCGCTCAGCTGTCACCTCCATGATCTTCACCGCAAACTCATGGCCAGTAGCTCGATGAACACAACGGCGTACCACGGAGCTCACTCCTCTGCCAGAGTCAGACCGCACACGAGTCAGGGCCTCCTGCTCTCTCATTTCCACACAGAATGGAGCCCTGCCATCCTCATACCCACTGCACCATATTCTGAAGACCCATCTGAACAACAAGCAGCCTCCCAGGGCTCACCCTGGCCTACAGTAGCTTCACGGTAGCCTCAGCAAGCAACCTGGGTACCCAGCAAGGTGTAACACAAAGCTCACAGGGAAGGCAGGGGGGTCCTGGGTTTGAATCCAATCTCTGCCATTCTCTGCATGGAGAAGCCTAGGCCGGTCCTTTCCACACTGAGCCCCAGAACCTGCCCCTCCTCCTGGAACCCCAAAAGGAGAAAGCAGGAAGAAATGATCTAAGGCTCCCTCCAAATTTTACTCAACACTTCCCTGATTACCCCTTCCAAATCCCAAAGTTCTCCTACAATACCTCAAGTGTAGGAGGCTCCAAATAAATATCAGACCATTGACTGGAAGACCAAAGCTGTGAATCAGGAGACCTTGGTGCAGGCCCCATATGTGCCACTAATTAACCTCCAAGTGACCCGCTGATATAAGGTCTCTGGACTTTGCTTTGTCGGCTCTGAAATGTGGACAACAACATCTTGAAGAGATATCGAAAGACATGAGGTAGAAGCAGAAAAGTCCATTTGGCATGGTGAAGAGAAAGTCCTAGACAGGTATTTCCTTGCTTGGAATCTGTCACCAATTCCTTATGACCCTACAAGTACCTCAGGCTAAGTACAAATCTCTCCAAGATCGGATCTCACACCACATTTCCTGTGCTGGTTCCCTGGCTGCCCTTCACGGCTTCCTTGCCCTTACATAACTCCCTTTGCTTAGAATGCCTATCACCCACATCTCTGGTTCCATCAAGAGATGTAAACCACTGACCCTCCAGCCAAACACAGCCCACAGATGTGTTCTGTTTGGTCAGTGAGTTGTTCTTTTCAAATCTGAATTCCTATCTTTTTTTTTTTTTTTTAAGATTTTATTTACTTATTTGACAGAGAGACACACAGCAAGAGAGGGAACACAAGCAAGGGGGAGTGGGAGAGGGAGAAGCAGGCTTCCCGCGGAGCAGAGAGCCGGATGCAGGGCTCGATCCCAGGACCCTGGGATCATGACCTGAGCCGAAGGCATGACTGAGCCACCCAAGCGCCCCTCTGAATTCCTATCTTAAGTGGGACAAGAACTTGCAGCTGCTACAATGCTCACCACTTCCTACTGTCTTATTCTTGGCCACTACACAGTTTTAATTCCCTGATCTCCATTAACGGTAATACCATTCGATCAGACTCCCAAACTAGAAATCTTGGTATGATTCTTGGCTTTTCCCTCTCCTTCAAAATCCACCACATCCAACCAGTCCACTCCATTCTGTTTCTCAAATCTGTTTCCTAGTACACCACCCCCATAGCCATAACTGCCTCCCCACTGATCTCCCTGCTGCCAACCTCAGCCACCGCAACCCATCCGCCGCACTGCTTCCAGAATGAGCTTATGACCGCCCCAATTATGTCATTTCCCGCTTAAAAACATTCCAGCTTAAATTCCCTACTAAGTTCTAAGTGTTCCCTCATTCCTCAGCAGGACCCCTAGAGCAACTGTGCTCTTTTTAAGTGAGACCTAATAATTTCAACCTTATATAGTTATTAACTATGGAGGGCACTCAAAACTGGTTTCTATCCATACTGTCTCCTTATTCCCTTGTAAGATAGAAGTCAAATCCCAGTTCCTTCACCTGTCATTCAAGGCCTTTACCAAATGGTCTCGGTTTCTTTTCAGCCTCATTTTTGGCTATGTCCTGCTATTCAATCTTTGCTTCAGTGACTTATAACTTATCACCAATTTCTAGAATGCAGCAAGCTCTTTTAAGGCTTCAGACCTTATACGTAAAGAAACTGGTACTCTGGGAACTCATTTAGTGAGAGTGGGCAGGTAACTTACTGTGCAGGAGAAACACAAGAAAAAGACAGAGACCAGGGATGATGCTACTACAGTAATGCTGGAATGATATGATAAAGGACCCTATCCCCTGATCTGCTTTCTCCAAAACTGATCTTTCTGCGCCCCTTGGAAGTGGAACCACTGTTCTGCCCTAAGGGCTCTCCTAGCCTCACCTGGTCCTGAAACCCTGCATCAGCTTAGGACTTGGATCTCAGCTCTCTTCTTTTCCAGATACTCTTTCTCCCTGATGACCTCCATCCAGTCCCGGGGGATTTAAGTACCATTTGTACAAACGGCTCCCACCGCACTGCCTCAAACCTTGGTTCCTTTCCAGAATTCCTGATCCCAAAGGCCTTTTTAATATCTCCATGTGATATCTGAAAGGAGTCTGAACAAATCTAATAGTCATAGCCCTTTCTGCTTTCCTGGCCTCAGCAGTACTGATCACAGCAGACCACGCCAACCTTCTAGAAGCACATTCTTTTTGTGTTTTTATTTCTAACTCACAGATGCTCTCTCCTTAGTCTCCCTTGCTGACTCCTCCTTTTCTAACCCCCTAATGGTGACATGCCCCAGGGCCTGAGCTTGGCCCCTTTCACCTCTCCCCATGTATCTTCTCACCAGCTACTACGTATATGCTAATGCCTCCCAAATTTATTGCTCTAGTCCAGCTCTCTCTCAAGCTGCAGACACATGTACCTACTTGGCAGCTCCAGTTGGAGATCTCAAAGTTCACATCTCCAAAACTGAACTCTTGACTTGCTTGGCCCTCCTGGCAGTCCAATCCTCCTTGGCCATCTTCATTTCAGAAAATGGTACTCAGGTGCTCAAACCCAAACCTTAGACATTATTCTTGTTTCCTTCCCTTCTTCTTATGGCCCATATCCGGTCTCTGAGGAAATCTGTATCAGTCTCTCTTCAAATCATCACCTCAATCTATCCACTTCTCCCCATCTCTACCACCACCATTCAAACCTAAACCATCACCATCTCTTGCCTGAATCAATCAACAGCTTCCTAACTGGTCTCTACACATCCATTCTTGTCCCCCTCCTATCCATTCTCTACACAAGAGCCAGAGTGATCTTTTTAAAATGTAGTAACACACATAAATAAAATCTTTAAAAAAAAAAAAAAAAAAGGGGGCGCCTGGG